AACTATTTGGGTTTGGATGTTGGTGGAACCAACCTGCAGATATAAGCCTACTCTTTTTTTTGATGAATGAATGATATTTTATTAAATAGAGATAGAAATAGTACAAGCATGAAGCACTCTAAGAGGAGGCAAGAGGTGTTTCCTACCCTTAAAAGTGGTTCCAAACCCAACTCTTTTCAGATTGCCGTTATAAATTAGCCAAAAACAGAGAATCCCTTGAAGCCTCTTGTTTAGCTAAAGAATCTGCCAAAGCATTCGCCGATCTACTAACCCACTGAAAGCTAACTGACATGGTTCTCGTAAGCCATTTGACTTTTTTGATGATGTCCCTATATCCCCAAACAACAGTTTCTGGGTCCGACATCCATCCCACTATCACCTTAGAGTCTCTTTCAACTATCAAATTAGTCACTCCAAGTTGGTTGGAAATCTTTAGTCCTTGTACCAAAGCTAATATCTCAGCCCTTGTAGAGTCTCCATAACCCACTGGACCTGAGAATAAGGACAGAATGTTGCCATCCTTATTCCTCAAGATCCCTCCTATACCCGATATAAGCCTACTAAACCCATCAACTTTTGTGTGGCCCAACAAAAGAGGGAGAATTATGTGAAGATGAATTAGAGCTGCAACACTTTTGACAATTTGGGAAGAGAGGAATGCAAGGATTTTCCAAGAAAAGGAATGGAGACATTTACTTATCAAGGAACATATCCTAACAAGGACAATTCACTGGCTGAAAACTTTGAATTCTTTCCATTTGTTTTCCTTTGATGACCTTAGGAGGAACTGGTTAGTAGTGGCAAATAGCTCCTCTAGGAAGGAAAAGATCATTGCCTCTTGGACCCCACCATCTGACGGTTGGGTAAAGTTGAAAATTTTGATGGAAGCAATCAAGGAAACCCTGGTCCCTTAGGCATAGGAGGAGTATTGAGAGATAAGGAGTTAAAGACAACATCATCTTAGCTTTATACTCTGGTCCAGTGGGAGTAGGAGACTCGGTCAGAGCTGAACTATTGGCAGCTCTACAGGGTATTCAGATAGCAAACCATTTAGGAGTTGAGCGTCTTCTAATTGAAGGAGACTCTAAGATTGTTGTGGGCTGGTTAGCAGATCTGGAGTCAGTCATTTGGTGCTACAAGGATTACCTAAAAAAATGCAAGCTGGCTAACAAATAACATGTCTGTTAGCTCACTTTGGGTGAGCAGGTCAGCGAATGCTTTGGCTGATCATTTTGCTAAACAGGGGGTATTGAGGGAACATCTGTACTGGGAAACATTGTAATGTCTTTGGCGTAGTTTTTACACTCAAACTCAAGGGAGGTTGCACCTCGTGCCCCTCCTTGGGGTTTTTGTAACGTTTCTGATGTATCATTAATAAATCGTTTCTTATTCATAAAAAAATATCATCGCTGATTTTTCTTTCTAGATGTTCGAAGTTGTGAACTGTTTACAGTTAATACATAGTACCTTTTCTTCTAGCTAAAAGCTTTACTAAACAACATGAGGTATGAAGTTCTGGGTGAAATGCTAAGCAGGGGGAATTCACATCTGCGCCCTACAGAGGTCATCCCAAAGTGCCCCACAACACATCCCAACCATGTATTGGGAGCATCTCCAGTGGCAAGTATGGAAGGTGTTTCAAATACACGGTTGGGATGTGCTGTGGGGCACTTGTGGGGCACAGATGTGTACTCAAGCTGGGGACGTTGACCTGAACTGAACTTCCCTGAATCCCAGGACATTATTTGAATTTAGTTTCCCTAACCAGTTGCTATATAGTTTGTTCCAAAAGATGCTAAAGTGAAGGTGCATTCTTTTTCACTGGCTAGTGGTGCTTTAATATTGAATGTGTCCGAATCACCATCCTTTCTTGTATTTTTGATTGATGGAAGTCCTACCTGTTTAATACAATATTTCCATTTACCTTTCAAAAAAAAGTTACTAAGTGACTTTGAAGCACAGACCTAGTAAGTAGAAGTGAATGAAGATAAATTTTAAGCGACTTATTGGCAAAATTTTAAATAAAAGAAAAAAGCAGAAGTATAACTGGATCTAATTGCATATATGGTTCAAAAGCTGTTTTTTTTAATCAGCATAAGGAGGTTTTATTAAGGAAATTACAAGGATACATCAATGTGGAAAAACTCCACCTTGCGCAAACAAAAATTACAATTTTGCCCAACACAATTGATGCCTAAAAGATCCTTGTTTAGCTAGAGTATCCACCATCCAATTAGTAGTTCTGTTCACCTATTCAAAATTGACAGTTAACTCCCTTGTTATACTTTCAATCTCCCGATTGGTGTGTTTATAGATCCAAGGGATTTGGGTCTTACTTTTTTGTCCATGAAATGACCACCTGGAGTCAATTATCAAAAAAAAAAAAGGCCACCTGGAGTCCTCTTTCACCTCCAAATGTTCGAATCCAAGCTGCTTTGCAAGCTTTACACCTTGGAGTGAGGCCATCATCTCTGCTGTCATTGGGTCACCATGCTCAACAGGTCCTGAAAATAAAGCTAGTATCTTGCCCTTTTAATCATGGAAGACCCCTCATAACCGGACACACCTTGGTTGCCTATAAAGCTTCCATCAAAATTGAGTCTTTTAGAGATGGTTGCCAGAGGTCTTCATTCCATGATTATTCTTTCCTTGTCTTGAGCTGAAAGTGCTACTTCCTCTACTTCCAATTTCTAAGAATGACAATCAATGAGAAGAATTGAAAATCTCTCGAAGTCATCACCCAATGTGTCGCTTTTACTTTTATTGTGTCTAAGACTTTCAATTTGGATTGACTTTTCTTCCATTCCATTCTTCCCATATGGTCCAAATCAAAGCTGCCCTTACTTCTCTCCACAAAATCCTTTTCCTTTAGCTATCAAGGTATCAGAAACGCCAAGTGTATTAGAAAGGTAATTTTAAGAAATGTATTGGGATATGCCTTGAATATGCATGTGTATCGGAGAAAAATTAAAATACACATGGAAACACTACAATTACTTCAATAAATCATAAAAATACATCAATACCACTAAATATAAAGCCTCAATGAGGTATACATACATTACATTAATATATTTTAATGGGTTTTGTGTAGAAATACATCGTAGTCAATTATAATTTTCATTAAAAACCCCTATTCTTAACTATAATTTATAAATTATAATTCTTAAGTTTTAAGGGATGGGGAAAATCCAACTATTCTATCCAACCATAAAACATGCATTGGCACAACTTCTATGTGAAAATATAATTAATAATTATTTCTTATTTAAATAATTACTATCTATTTTTTAATTCCAAAAAAATACAAAAAAATCAAGAATAAATAAACATTGTACAATGTATTCAAAAAAATAATTATTGAAGAAGAAATTTTAATTATTCTATGGATACAATAGATCATCCATAAATCTACAATATATTCAATCCTTATGGCTAGATCATAAAAATATAATTAATTATTATTTATTTTTTAATTCTGAAGTATAAAAAAATAAAAAGTAATTTTTGAAGAAGAAATTTCAATTGCACTGTGGATGTGAAAGATCAAAGATCATTCATAGATCTACAACATATGTAGTCTTTATGGGCAAATTATAAGAAAATATAAATAAATAAAATTCATTATTTATTTTCAAAAAATACAAAAAATGAAAAAATATTGTACAAGAAATTTCAGTTGCTCTATGGATCCATAGGTCTAAAACATATTAAGTCTTTATAGGCAGATAAAAAATACATTTTTCATTTTTTTGTTTTGTTATTTTATAATTTTCCCAAATTTCTTCATAAAATTTTCCATAGATCTACTCATAACACCAAAAAAACTGTGGCTTTCAATACAAGAAATGTAGATCAACATAGATTTAAACATTTTCAAGAATTCAAGCAGAAAATAAAAAAAATAAGAGGTCATAAGATATTATGAGAAAAATTGAAAAAACTATCTATTTTTGCAGTATTTTCCAAAACTTGAAAAACTTTCAAAAACCTTAATGATTCACACTTGTTTCTTGTATTTTGTTGCAGATTTAGCACTGTGGCGATGAGGTTTGGAATTTCAGTCGTTTGGGGGTGAAAGAAGGCTTATTTTTTTGGGGGGGGGGGAGAAACCTTCTTTCCTCCTTTACTTTTTAACAAAATTCCCCCTTTATTATTTTTTCTTATTTTCTATTTGTATCTTTTTCCAGCATATCAATCGATGTGCTACCATAGGCCCGATATGCCACTGATACACCACTGGTATGGGTATGATAAGGTGGAAAAAAGATGATACCACCTATTTCCCACCATATCCTGTATTGAGCCTTCAAAGATATGATACTATATGCCCATACGGGTATTTCATATCAAAAATTTAAACCTTGGTCTCAAGAAGTTAGGATCAAAGTGACCTACCACATCCTGAGGTGGAAACAACCTGCACCTAAAGAGAGAAATGCTCCCAAATACAAAGCACAAAAGGGCAGGAAATAGTGGTTCGAAACCTGTTGCTTTCCCTCATGGACGTTTTAAGCTATTTCAAAAAATTGCAGTCAAACCCATCGGAGTAAATCTTAACAGTTCTTGCAGTTCAACCATGATTTGTTTTCCAAAACATTGGTTTGGATTTCATACAAAAGTTTTAAAAAATTCTAATGTCTGGTTGGGTGAATTAATTTAATGTGTACTTATATGTTGATTTTTATTGTCTATTTCCATTTGAAACCTAAAGTGGTCCATACTTAATGTGGTCCATGTGTGTATGGATAATGAGCACAGAAAACATGAAAATTGTGCTTCGACTGATGGATGAGCCTGTGGTTATCATGCTTGTGGACCTGTATACGGAATTATGTATCTTTTTAAAATATTGTCACCTCTATGCATTTTGGTATCTTCTGCTTGTGTTTTCTTCTAATGAATTATTCACTGCAGATTAGTGTTTTTTCATGAATGTTCCATTTGATATTTGTTTGTCTAGAATAGTTCTGAGTACACTGTCAACTATCTTCTTGCAGGTTTACTTGTGTGAAAAGTTGTCACTTGTCAATGAGATGTACTTTGCCATCACTCTGGACCGTAAATCTGCTGGACCAGTATGTTCCCAACTCCACTACTATATGTCTGTCTACTTTCGTATATAAATTACTGAATTTCCTTAACAAATCCATATCCTCATCTTCATAATGATGGTACTGGATGCTTTGCAAGTATGTGTGAAATAATTTTCTCGTAAGAGTATGCTATAGGCTCTGATTTGGGTTACAATATTGCACTTAAAGTTTATTTTAATATCTGTAATGCATGTACTTTACGTCTGTATATAGACATGATTTCAAGGTTTCCATTAACCTTTCCAATTAACACGGAAGGGAAACAACTGTTTAGGGTTCTCTTGGAAGTACATATTCATTTTCATTTGGCTGATTAATTATTATTGGAAAGAACAACCATGTATTCAATGAATAGGAGTATGTTTGTTCATTGTCTTTTTCTTCTTTTTTTTTGGGGGGGGGGGTAATACTGTGTTTTTCCTGTTTGCTTCTTTTTCTTTTTCCCCTTCTCTTTGTTCTTTTTCTCCTCCCCATCTCCAGCATTAGAAGAAGGGAGGAACGATTGGTTGGGGGAAAAAGGAATTGAGCTTTTGAAAGGGTTCTGAAAGCTCTTGTGGTTTTGAGGAGGACAATGAACTCTTTTCAAATGTTTTTATTGGAAAGTTGGAGGTGGAATTAGGAAGGAAAAAAGATGTTTGTGTGGGTGAAGAGGTCAAAAAAGGTGAGGATTCTTTGTTAAACTTGAAAAAAATCCAAGGAATCTAATGCTGGTTAGTTGTTTCATATCACAGAAGTGTTTCATCATTTGAAGGAAGGGTTAATTGGGGATGGCCCATGCAGCAAGTATAAGAGAGTTTACAAGAGGAAGAGGATGAAGGATAGAATTTGAGCACAGATCAGTGCAAGAAGCAGTTTTATTGTGAAGTTGTTGGAGAAAGGGGTGGATAAGAAAAAAATGGCTCCATGTTCAGATGCTCAAAAGGAAAAGAGAAAAATGGATCGAGGAGGAAAACGGAGTCCAAGAGAAAAATGGTTCAGGGTGTGGATGAATTTTTAGAGGAAGAGAAAAATGGAGAGGAGGAAAACGGGGAGGTGGTTATGGATCGAGCGAGAGAAACAGCTCGAAAGGTTGACTTGGAAAAGATAGTGGAAACTGGAGTCCAAGTAAGCAAGATGTTAGAGCTATCGTTTTTAGGAGGGGAAGAATTTGTGGGAAAAAAAGTTGGGAACTGGAACAGAGTTGTATTGAAAATAGAGAAAACTTTTAAGGGAATTTGGTGGGGTTGGTTTTGGTTTAGAGATATTAGGGGGTGTTGTTTTTTGGGCTATTTTCTCTTTGTAAGGTTTAGAGATGTTTTATTTGGGTTGGTGGGTTTGTGGTTTAAGTTTGGGTTATTGGCTTTTTGTGGGTGATAGCTTATCACCATGTTGTACTCTCTTTTTTTTAATAAATATTTTTTTCTTTTTATTTACTTTTTTTAAAAAGTAGCTACTGTTGTTCAGTTAGACAAATTAGAGCATGGAATGCTAAAATGTAGGTGCCATTTGGGAAATTGATCTAAGTACGGATTAATAATTTTTTTATTACATCTTTGGGTGGCACTATCCATGCCATAGAAACTAGGATGACATACATATCAATAATGTGAATCGTGCTATATTGGAACCAAAAACAGAGTCATGGTCTAGAAATGTATGATTATTTGGCATATTGGTGAAAAAGGTATGATGTACCTTGAGGTTTGAGGAACTAACTTATATATACCTTGTGGTTTCAAGAACTACTTACATATACCTTTTATGATGGTCCCACATGGTTAGGCACTCACCCGTCTACTAATGGAGTGTTTAGGGCTGTTTTTATCTATAACTAATATTTTTGTTATCCCAAATTTATGCTTCTATTTTGAACTGAATAAGGAGATATCGCTCCCTAAAAGCCACCCCTCCTCTCTTTCTCTTTCTCTCCGCTATTGCAACATAAAGCCTGCAACCACCCCAACCTCTGTTCAAGCACTGAAGAGATCTCACTGCCGCTCCTCATCTCTCCCTTTCTACTTTCTCTTCTCCCACCATTCTTGGTTCATTGCAACACAAGATGGAAGAGGCGAAGCATATTGCCTTATTTCAGCACCAACCGGTTTCTCCAAAATATAAGTTAGGGAGGGTGTGTTTGCTTTTTGGTTGCTATCTTCGACCATTGAGAATGCAACTTACATCTGGTAGCAACAGAAAACGATCATGTGGCTACTCTCCAGGATCTTTGGTGAGTCCTTGTTATCTAAAACCGCTAAACCTTATCTTTTTCTCTCCTCTCTAATCTGATTTCTCTCATTTGTTGTGCACTGAATAGGGAGGGGTTCCTTCATTCTGAACTACTAATAGCAGAATGGTAGCTTTATTAGCTATTTCTACATGTTTGGCTTCATGGGATCATGCTAAAGCACACATTCTGTTTTATTATCCACTCAAAGATGATCCTCATTTCAAAAGTCAACAATTTAATTCAGAGTTCCTAGAAGCCATTCAACAAGTAGTGATATCTTGGGAGTTGGGATGCCATTGTGAAATCAGAAAATCCCATGACCCCTCAAGCTGTTCTAGTGCAATGACTTTGATAGGACCAAGAGTTACAGCAAACCAATGCCTGTGCATGGGAATAGCCAGCCTGCCTACCAAGTTTACAAAAAAAGGGAGAAGCCACGTCAGCAAGAATGTAGTCCAAGTGGCTGACTGTTAGAACAGAATAACAGTCCTACAACAAGCTGTAACCATCTTGTAACAGACTGCAACTGTAAACAACTTACCTGTCTATAAAAACCCGAAGAAGAAATAAAGAGCCACGGAATTTCAACTGAACAAAGCTCTCTCTCTCTCTCTCTTTCTCTCTCTTTCTCTCTCTCCCTCTGAATCCCCTTTTCTTCCCCTCTCTCTGTTTCCCTTCAGTTCCTCTTCCCTCACGAGTTTGGTTCACTCTATGAACCCTGAGTTAGGCAGCACCTAACAGATTGGTATCAGAGCATGACCAATAAGCGATCTACAGCAATGGAGGCCTGAGTTGATCAGGTGGAAGTCGATCTCCACCGAGTTTCAGGCGAGATGTGAGGTCTCAAGGATACCTTAACAGATCTTGCAAAGATTGGAGCAAAGCCCGCCGGCTGAAGACAGGGAAATCGACCAAGATCGAGTTAGCCAAGGAAGCAATCGAAGAAGCAGCTCTACCTTGGAGAGAAACACCAAACTGAGCTTCCCAATTTTCTCAGGCGGAGACCCCATCCCATGGATATATAGGGCGGAAAGATTTTTTGAATATAACGAGACATCCAGACCAGACATGGTGGCATTGGCAGCAATGCATTTGTACGGAGATGCCATCCCTTGGTATCAATGGTACCGCCGAGGACACCCCCATATTTTATGGCTCGATTTCACGGATGCTCTGTGTGTCCGATTCGGGGCTTCTGGTTATGAAGATTTTGATGAGAGTCTTGCGAAGATAAAACAAGTAGGAAGTGTTTGTGACTACCAATTGGAGTTTGAACGTCTATAGTTGAGAGTCCAAGGGTGGCTGGAGAAGGCTCTGGTCGGAGCTTTTGTGGGAGGACTCAAGGAAGAGATCCGGTTAGAGGTCAAGGCGATGCACCCAGCAACGGTAATGGCCGCGACAGCCCTAGCCCGCACCCAAGAAGAAAAGATAGCTCGAGCCCGACATCTAAACAGGCCCTGGCAGCAAATGAACAAATCATTTACTGCATCAAGACCGGAAGGGATGGGGTTCGGTAAAGATGGCAGCATATTAGGCAAATCACCAGGTAACTTAGGCCCGAGTCCCGTAATTCCATTCAAGAAATTAACATGGGCAGAAATGCAAAATCACCGAGACAAAGGTCTCTTCTACAACTGCGAAGAAAAGTTTGTCCCCGGTCATAGATGCAAAACTCAACAAGCCTTCCTGTTACAGACTGAGGAGGAAGAGGAGGATCAGCAACCAGAAGAAGGATCGTCAACTGAAGAACACTGGGTCGAGACCATACAACCAGAAATATCGCTACAGGCCTTAGCAGGGTTCTCATCACCCCAAACCATGAGGGTGACGGGTTTAGTTCGGGGTTGCCAGGTGTCTATCCTAATCGACAGTGGTAGCACTCTAAACTTTGTAATCACTGTGCTAGTCAGACAATTAGGATTGCCAGTTCAGCCCACAGCCTCATTTAAGGTCCAAGTGGCAAATGGGACCTCACTCCAATGCATGGAATTTGCACAAGCATTGGGTTACGCATCCAAGATCAACAATTTCAGGTTGACTTGTATTGGGAATTCAATGGTTGCAGCAACTTGGGCCTGTTCTATGTGACTGGGCCCGTTTGTCTATGGATTTCATGATAGAAGGGACAAGATACATTTGCAAGGCCACTTAGCTAACCGAGCCAGCCCAATAAGCTTGGCAGCCATGTTGAAAGAAGCACGAGACCCAAAGCAGCTCATCATCTGGGGATCAAATCATACAGGCCCAATGCTATCTCAGGCCCAGGATACAACAACTCAAGCTGAATACAAACAGCAGCTTCGCAACATCCTCCAGCAATATGCTGCAGTTTTCAAGGAGCCAACGGACCTACCTCCAACAAGGGATCATGACCACAGAATCCCACTATTGCCGGATGCGCCTCCTACCAATGCAAGGCCCTACCGTTACCCTTATTTTCAAAAACAAGAAATTGAAAGGCAGGTTCAAGAACTGTTGGATAAAAATTTTATTCAACCCAGCCACAGCTCATTTTGTGTGGATTATAGGGCACTTAATAATATTGCGGTTAAGGACCACTTTCCAATTCCAATAATAGATGAGCTACTGGATTAACTCAAGACTGCAAAAATTTTTTCAAAGTTGGATTTACAGGCTGGATACCATCAGATTAGAGTCCATGAAAGTGACATTTCAAAAACGGCCTTCCGGACTCATGATGGCCACTATGAGTTCCGGGTTATGCCATTTGGCCTTACAAATGCCCCAACTACCTTCCAAGCCTTAATGAACGACT